TAGAAAAGGTAGAGCATATAACAAAAATGAAAGGAAAAATAAATTACGGGCGATCTGAGGTCGGGAAGGGGGAGGGGGTGAGTTTTTAAGAGTAAAAAAAGGTTAATCTCGATTTCCGGTAAAACTGCAAATTCTATGAAAAAAAGTTAAATGGCAAAGTTGTAGGTAATATAAAAGGTCTACAACTTTTGTATCAACACTTTTTTCACATAACCTCAAAATTTATGTGAAAAATGCGAATAACCGAGTTTTTGGTTTTTGATTTTTATTTTTTGCAAAAAAAATATTTTTTCACGAAATTTGGTGAAAACTTACCTTTGTATGTCCCAAACATACAGTAATTTTTTTGATTTAAAATATTCATTTTTTCACCTTATTTTGACTTAATATCGAAAAAGCACCCTTATTTTCAATCGAAAATTCTCACGTCAAAATATCTGCTTTTTTGGTCTCAAAAATTATCGACCCTGGTCTATATGGGAGCAGTACCTTTATGATTTACTCTACTGAATTCTGCAGCGGAGCGGTATATTCTACACTGCTCTCTGGCCTCTCGATTTTCAGGAAAATACGTACGTGCAGCCGCAGTGCTAGGGACTTTCTTTTTGTTATTGACTTTTATAAATTGCGACGAAAATATGGCTATACTCCATTACCCTCGTGAGTTCATTTATATTTATGGGCCATCAATTCTAGTTGTATATTTTACTCAACGTGTTGGTATAGTCAAACGCAAGCAGCAGAGTCGTTCGAAAACTATCGGCAAATCGGAAACAGACGATTATTTGAATGGTTACTTACCACTTTATGCATGAAGCAATAGATAAACACAGAATCGGCTACTTGCATTTGCAGTTGCAGATAGAAAAAAATATCAATGAATGAAGTATTACTGATATAGTTTACAAATTGACAGTTTTCCTAACAATGGCTCTTACACAGCTATTATTAACAAATAAGAATTTGTAATAATTAATGTCATTTATAAATATAACGACTATTTTTCTTGACGTTAGCTTATCAGATCGTTACGGAAACCTCCGTTAAGTACCCAATCAAAGTCAAAGATTACGGTTCCGTTTGATTTACATAACTCAATCTTGAATAAGTAGTGTCAATACCATTCCGAGCCGAGCCGCAATGAGTTCAATCCCGCTTGATCTAGGTTTGACCCATAAAAACTTGGCGGCGAGAGAAAGAATGTTCTGGCTATAACCAGTTATATCCAATTGGCTCTGTCTGCGCCACGCCACGCTTTAAAGCGCCCCGCTAAGAAAGTTTTTTTAAATCCACCCGCGAATCGTGCCGAATACAAATTAAGAATGAAACTCCGCGGGCGTGCGGTCGTTTTAAACATGAGACTGAAATACTGGCTAGCAATTACTTTGTATTACAATTATCTCATAAATTATGTCCGCCACGTTTTTTATTCCCCACTTAACGTCTCTCAACGAAATTGACGAAATAAGGGAGCGAAGCTCCGCCGCTGGTTAGAATTACCAATTAAGCGACTTATGGTGTTTGGATTCTGTTTCTTTACTCTGTAAAGAAAGAAACCATTAATCATGGTTGCTGGAGAGTTTATCCGTTTCCTTTTTTAATTAGATTAGAATTTAATGTCACTACATCATTTTTATCATCACTTTTAGTCTTTGATAGATTAAAAATTCCGAGAATTTGTTACGGACGGTGATGCAGTGTCGGGTTTCGGAAAATATTAGGTTAAAACTGGTTCAGGCCGGCAAGTTAGAGGTAGAGTGTTTTTCTGCTGCATCTGCTTATCTTCACAATAAGGCACTTCTCTAGACGGCCACGACCAAGACCAGATTAACTAAAGAAACCATATGAACCTTACGCATTTGGCGCCACACCGGTCCGGCACGGCTGGTCGTTGCGGTCAACTACGTATAGTTATCTACGTAGAAGCGCTTACACACTAGATCTGCGACCACGAATACGGCCTGGCTACGACCATCCATTCTCAATGTCATGCGGACAGTTTGCGAGTGCAAACGTTTGGTATCGTTCCGTAACTACTACCTTTTTTCTGCAATGAGTTTTGATACAAATTTAATAATTATTAATGAAATAAAGAAACGACAAGTAAAACCGCTTTACGACCAAGGAGCCATTCGCCTATCGGGATTGCTTAAGGAAACGCTATCGCTTTCGATTTCATTTTGTTATTTTCAAATACCTCACGCTCATTTTCTTTGATATTATTATTACCAATGCAAAAGAAAAAAAGAGCGCGAGGCATTTGAAAACCTCAGGTGGCTAGTAATAACAAAATGAAATCGTAAGCGATAGCGTTTTCCAAAGCAACCCGTTAGGCACATAGTGGTTGTGGTCGTCTAGTGCGCGAGGTGCTTTAGACTACACTAATAGTACAACTTGTGCAGCCTTGTATAGAAGTTGTGCTAGTTAATACATATAAACTAGCACAACTCTTCGTTCTCGTCCCCTTTTTATTACACGCAATATAAACAGAGGTATCTTTGAATCAAACAATAGAAGGTTATTGTTGAATAAATGTAGGCAATGAAAGCATGAATTTTAAAAATTAAAACAACAAATCATCATTGGAATTATTTTCATATCCTATATTACTTATTTTGGGTAGTCATTGTTTCCTTTGTGTTTTCTCTTAAAATCAATACGATTATAATACACACAATGAAAATGACCTAGTCACCTTTACCTATTCAAATATAAATGATAAAGTAGTCTAGACTTGCTGTGAAAGAACAACATAATAGAAATGCGTCAGTTGGAATTCTTCTACGCAGAAAGATTAAACTAAAGTTTACCAGAAAGGGTACGAATACTTGGAAACATTCACAAAACGAGAACAGGTATGAAAATTAAAGACAAGAAGTGTATTTCAATATGAAAACCACAATACATTCTTATTAAAGTTTCACAATTTCATTTGAAGTATTGCTGGAAGCCATAATATTAATTAATCTGGATCTAATTCCTTCGCGTTCTATTAGCAGTTTGCCATCGTGTAAACCGGCAAGGTAATGTTGTCTGGTGTTGGGTCGACTGATCTACCAGCTATTTTCTAAGCTTCACCTTCACTGAATATAGTGTTTTCTTTTTACCTTTAGTTTTTACACGTGACAACGTCTTATAATTCGATGAAGCCGGCTGCACGCACGAAAAAACATGACTCATGCGGCGTTACCCCGCTCTGAGGCGTTCCATTTAAGGCTTGAAGTGCAAGCGAGAGCGCGTCACGAGCGACAAAGAGGCACAATCAGCCTCCGAGTTAGGCAGCGTTCGACATCTGTCTCTCTCCTACTTAAGTGAGCGATGCGTCCGCGTGGAGCTGCTATACAATAATACATTTAAATCATAGTCCTATTCTCAACAGATTAACACTAATTGTAAAATGTTAAATATCACACATGTTTAAAAGTTATAAATCAAAGTTTTAAACCAATTGCTCAAAGCACATTCATACTTGTAAAAACTAAGTACATTGTAAAAAAACGTTGTCACGTTCAACTATCGTCAGTAAACCGACTTTACAGACAACCGATTTTTTTAATTACAATGAATTATCCGGTGGCCTACATAACCAACTCACTATCTGCTGAAATTTGATTTGACCTGCCACAGTTGTTCTGCAAAGCTACTTCATCCGTTCTACTTCTTCCGTGCAAGTATGCAAGCTAAATATTATTTCCGATGTAAGAAATTATGAAATACATTGTTAGCCTTATCTTTCTTACATTACGTAAAATTAATAACTGAATAAAACCGGCCAAGTGCTTGTCCTGCCACGCGCTGTTAAGGGTTCCGTAGTTGCCTGTCGTGACCGCAATATACTTGAGCAGGAGTTTTTATTATCTGTATCTGATATTAAAAAAAACAATTAATATCAAACTATGTATCTCAATTAAAATACATAATTGATAGTCAAGCTGCGTCTCAAACTCAAAATCAATTTGATATTCATTTTTTTTTAATTTTGAAGGATAACCGCCGATCTTTTGTAATAGGTACTTGCTCTTTATTACCTTAACGTAACGATAGCACTTCTGAAGCCGTTGCCGTTGGTACTCGCGGTAGCTTTGTGGAAGTCATGATATTTTATTATGGTTTTTAAATAGTTTTTTTAGATTTTGTTTTTCAATGCAAGGTTTTACGCTATAATAACTTCATCTGTATCAGTATTAATTGGTAATTTTCAATTGGTAAGAATTTTTTCTTTAACCAAAGCTGAACGGCTATTACTCCTGTTTCCAGGTTTAACAAGCCAATAGCTTATTACATATCTAAATCGAAAAATAGTCTAAGAAACTCCAAAATAATTTTAAAGTGCCTTTTTAACGATAACCCACACGATGGGGTAAACGACCTACATATTTCCACAAAATTTCAGTTCTCTAGTACTAATAATCTTCAAGGAAAACCGGGAATGGACAGACGGACATGACGAAACTATAAGGGTTCCTTGTCAGGACTACGGAACCCTAAAAAAGGAATAATAATAAGGTTACCTAGGTATCTGCTTCAGTATAATGCCAGAGCAACACTGGGGCCGTTATAGCGCTAATATTCCATGCACTTCCGACCATCACACCAAACATATTTAAGGACTATAGTTGAAGCAAAAGACTCACCTACATGGCAGCAATCCCGTAAATAGCATAACAGACAGTTAATTTCTTCTAATTATGTTTATAAAAATATTAGTTCTGATGTAACAGACATTCAAAGTGAAATTATCAAAAACTGGCAAAATTTTATATTAACCAAATAACCACAGATTACTACTACGAAATAACATTGAGCTTTATCTTAAAATTCACATTAACATGCATTTTTATAAGTTAAGAAATTGCTGGCTGAATCTTGCTCCATCAGAACAAAAAGGGATAATACTTATTATGCGTGGCAATGGATATAATTATTATAATATCAGTGACCTCAGCAAATGTCCCAAAGACATTTTTTCCTATGGATTTCTTATAAAATACCTTTCGCAGGTATCCTGGATCCGGAAGCGAGACCTGCACATCTTGACTGTTGGTGTCCACACGTACAGCAGCGACGCGAGGTTTGCCGCACTTCACGCAGATGGATCAGACGAATGGACGCTGAGGGTAGCCCCAGCACAGCCAAGAGATTCTGGAGCCTACGAGTGCCAAGTGTCAACAGAACCGAAGATCAGTTTATCCTTCCGACTTACAGTTGTCGGTGAGTTTTGTTTAGTTTTGTTGGTCACTCCAGTAACAGTAGTGATGCAAGGTTTTCCGCTATCCACGCGGACGGATCAGACGGGACGCTGAGACAAGCCCTAGCGCAGTCACAAGATTGCCCACGAGTGCCAATTGTCAAAAGAACCGAAGATCAGTTTATCCTTCCGACTCACAGTTGTCGGTGAGTAAATTGGTTTGATTATCAGAATAATGGACGCTGAGAGAAGCCCCAGAACAGCCAAGAGATTCTGGAGCCTACGAGTGCCAAGTGTCAACAAAACTGAAGATCAGTTTATCCTTCCGACTCACTGTTGTTGGAGAGTAAGTAAATTCGTTTGTTTTGTTGGTCACCAGACTAACAGTAGACGCGAGGTTTGCAGCTCTCCACGCAGACGGATCAGACGAATGGACGCTGAGAATAGTATCAAATTTTATATCAAAGTATTGATAGAACCGAAGATCAGTTTATGCTTCCGACTCACAGTTGTCGGTGAGTAAATAAGTAAATTGGTTTGTTTTGTTGGTTTCCTGTCCACCACAGCAGAAATGCGAAGTTAGCCGTTCTCCACACAGACAGATCAAACGAATGGACGTTAAGGGTAGTGCCAGTCAGTAAAGAGGTTCTGGAGCCTACGAGTGCCAAGTGTCGACAGAGCCGAATATCAGTTTGTCCTTCCGACTCACAGTTGTGGATAAGTAAAGTAGTAGGTATGTTTTTTTTTCATGTTGCATGCATTGTTTTTTTTAAATAACATTTTTGATTATGATATATGTATATATATATATATATATATATCATACTAACTGACCGTGACAAGAGAATGATTACAGCCACAATGACTCTTCTGTCTCTGTAATTGGTTTAGTACTACGTGTTCCTACATGATAATTTATTATTCTATATGTGTTAATCAAAGCTTTTATAGTTTTAAAATCTTTAAATCAATGAGAGATCTGGGGGTAACTTTAGATAACAAACTTTATCTGGATCTACATGTTGACAACATCATAGCCGAAGCATTTAAAATGTATGGCTTTGTAATGCGATCCAGTAATAAATTCGGCCGAGCTTCCACATACATTTATTTATATAAATCCTTAATTCGCTCTCAAATAGACTATGCAGTACCTATCTGGAATCCTTTTTATGATAAATACAAAAAAGCACTTGAATCCGTCCAAAAAAGTTTTAACGATAAATTCCACCACGGTCGCTTACCCTACGAGCAGCTGCTTAGTAGGTATAAACTTCCTACCCTTCAACAAAGACGACTTCAACTTGAAATATCATTATTGTATGACTTATGTCACAATAAATACGACTGCATACCACTGATAGATAGAATATCTTACAGAGTTCCTACTAAATCACATTGTCGTACCCCATTTAGCTCTTTTTCATTGCCAAAATGTCGTACAAATACAGGCAAACGATCCCCCATATACGACTTACAACGACAAATTCAATGGAATTAACATTTTTGCGATCCCTGTTACTACGTTTAAAAGAAAAGTTTTGGAAAGTTTTAAATAAATAAATAAATCAGAAATTGTAGTAAAATTTATATATTTATGTATAATAGGCAAAGAAGTAAATTAATAGTAAAAAGTATGTACACAGTCTCCCAAATAAACAGTAATTAGTACTGTTAAAAACTGTGGTAAAAATAGTGGATGATGCAATCAGTACACTGGTAGTATTAGTTTATAATGTAACAAGATTACATGATTATTTGTTTACCCTAATAAAGAGAAAAAAAAGAAAAGTTATTTTATCAGCGTTGTAAGGATACCAGCAAAGTTAATTTCTCCACACAATTTTTTAAAATATTTCCAACACACACCAATTAGCCTAGCCCCAAAGTAAGCACTATAAGGCTTGTGTTATGGGATACTAGGGTAACGGATAGAATGCATATAATGTACATATATAAGTATATTTATATAGTATATATATATATAAAATACCTATTAAACATCCATGACTGGAGTACAAATGCTCGTATTCATCACACAAACATCTACCCCCACCGGGATTTGAACCCAGGACCTCTCGAGTCGGCGACACCATGAAACCCGGCGTACAAACCACTCGGCCACGGAGGTCGTCAAACATCCTTGACATTCTTGACAAAGACCACCTTGTCATAATCAAAACGACATTCGAATCAGACCGTATCAATCATCTGAGATTCCAAAGTTTCTCTAAGTCTACAAACTTACCACAGTAATAATTTGAAGCTGTATTTTGATCTAGCAGTTGGATGATTAGGCTAAAGATATTTCTGATAGATTCAGTAGTCGCTTTGGTGCGCTTTGCGTAGAAGTTATTGTCTACAACAGATGAAGTATCTGAAGTGTATAGTCAATTATAAGATCTCGTATATCATAGACTAGAACATAAAACATTTATCTATAGGACTGCATATAAAGTTACGGATAAATCAATTTAAAAATGCCGTCTCGTCAACGTTTCGTTCTAACGAATAGATTAAATGCCACTTGCCGAAACCCGCAGTTGTCGTAAGTGCTATAAATATAACGGCTTTGAAGGCCGCTTATTCATCAGGTTCATTTATAAGCTTCCTTTCTAGAACAATAACTCTATATTATGTATTCCGTGGAAGTACTGCTATTTGCACTAGTTCAGCAGACTCAGGCTCAACTAATACTGGCGCACTCGAAGTCATGATTTCTAGAGTTGCGCTTGTAGCAAATTCATCTCTATTTTCGCCCTGTTAAGCCTAAGGTATTGCAACAGAACTAAATAAATTTATCTTTGGAAATGTAATTAGTAGGGTTAGCGAGCTCTCCACTAGGAGTGGAGCAGCTGCCTGTAAATAAAAATACAAATAATAAAATCCTTTTCAGTACATAAAATCACAGTTTATTAAAAACCAAACAATGATTATTATGGTTGGTATTAAGAAAAAATATTAATTTGTTTCTTAAAAACATTGATGTTCACACACTTAATACAAGAAACAAAAACAAACTAACTTTACCTGCTACTAGGCTTCACAAAATTAATAATTCATTGAAAGGTCTTTGTGTTTGCTTATACAATAAAAGTCCCAAGCAATATCCAAGAGTTAACCAATCAACCATAAATGAATTTAAAGATAGTATAAAAAAGCACTTATTAACAAAAGCTTATTACAAAGTGTCGGACTATATTACAGACATTACAGACAAAAATGCTTGGGTTTGAACTGTTCCAATCATTACAACAGGTTTTCTTTATTAAATAAATCATATTTGTATTAACGTTGTAACAACTTAATGATTTGTAAATGTTTTTACATTACACTTTTAATGTTTTGGAGTTTTTTTCGCTTGTTTTTCACCACAGCTAAAAATATGTCCATAACGAATTAATAAAATTATTACATCCAATTTGAATAAAGATATTGATATTGATCGATTGATTGATTGAGTATTGGGTTCTTCTAGTGAGTAAGGTTGACACTGGGACGGAAAACTCAAGAAATATGATATATTACCTATCCTATTCAACTATTTCTAAATGAAAGCGTTTCGTTTTCTATACAATTGTAAATCAAATTATATTTTATGAATATAATCTTTATACTGGAAATCAATTATTTTCAAAGATTTGCAGTTCAATTAACTTATACTTTGCTAAATTGTTAAGTAGTGTGCGCCGAAGCATAGGAAACCTTTTTGAATATGAAAAAGTTTTATCACAATTTGAATTTCCCTTTTATTTCTTCCTAACTTTTCATAACTAAGAGTTCGAGTTTCGTTTAGTTCAGTGAAACATGCTCAATTAAACCTTTCGTGAAGGCTATCTCATGGATATTCAATTTTATCAATCGATATAAAAACGTTTTTCACGCGGAAACTAGCTCTTTTAAAAGACAAACAGCGTAAATTATCACCTTCAAATCAGACACTGAATTTTCGTGGTAATTAACTGACACGAGTGAATAATACCTATAAAAGAACGTTAAAACTACACAAAACTATTAAATATTCTCATTGTTTTGGAAATGAAATATATTCAGCTATATACCTAACAACAAAGATTTCACTAAACACACGCGCATCACTTACAATGATGTTCTTTTAACATGAAATAATAAAGCCTAATGCTTCTCCCTCATCTCCGCGACGAAACTTTGGTACTAAAATGCGCTAAAATTTGCGTTATAGTCCCTCACAACCACTTTTATGCCTGTCAAAAACCGCCAGTCAAGCTATCGTCTAGCGCCGCGCCGTAGACTAGCAGTTCGATAATTCATTACGATAGAACGAAAGTCAAAGGAAAAATAATTATTATAGCACATTTGGAACCAAGCTAAGTCGCACAGGTATGGTAGAAGCATAATGCTAATATGTTTGCAATTGTACGTTTGAAAGCGTATATCCTTATCCTGCTCTATAGGGATGAAAGGGAGAGACTGCTGTCAAGTTGACAAATAGCTGATTACGAAGAGCCATGTCAAGTGCCGTCAAAAAATAATCGAAAAGGAAAGAAATATAAACGCGTTTGTAAACAATCTCAAACAATGTCTTGTGTGTCTTATCTTGTGCATAAAAGCAATATTTTTGATAAGTTAAATGTATGAAATAATTGAGAGCACCATGAAAAGGTCACGCGCGCTTTTCATTTTAAAGATGTAATATAATTCGAGCTGGTTGCCGTTTGATATCTTCATAAGTTTCAAACGTTTGTAAATAGATTCCGCGGATTTATAACAAATAAAAGCATGGTAGCACACAAAACTTATAATTGTATAGGATACCTATCAGTTAAGAAGTTAAACAATTTTAAGATAAACTTGGAATTTGGAGATTAAAGCGATAACGAAACCAGACGCGAAAACATTATGTTCAAAGTTTTCGAGAACAAAATGTAATCTTGGCTTTAATAAGTTATAGAGAGGCTACCCTCAAATACTACATAAACCTTATACAAAATACTCGTTCATCCTAGACCGAGTCTAAAGTGTATTCTCATAAATTGTTTGAAGTTAAGCTCTGGGGACCCTTCACGAAAACTATTGCTATTCCGAAAAGTAGCTCTTACTCGAGAGTAAATTATATGGAAATGATAGATACACCCTGGGAGCTACTTAACTCCACGGTGTACCGTTTCCATTGCTGCTACGAATACAAAGTGGCATTTAGTTATTGTTTCGGAAGGGTATGTGCACATTGAAAGATAGTGTCACGAATCCGAAAGGCTTTGTAGATTACGCAGTGCAATCCATTCGGTTGTCATCCCAGACTTTCAATATGGAAAACGGGAGGATATTGCACGAATGGTTCGTAGAGAAATTTGTAAACGAACTCCACAGCTGAAAGGCATTAATGAACAAACCAAACTGTATTGCACATGCAGTGTTAGTAAAAAATCCACAATAATTCAATGCGTTTAAATGAATTAGCTATAAATTGAAAATGATTATTGAATTCTTATAGTAATTTTGGTGACAGGAAAACAAATAAACCGAATTTATATAATTATAATTTTACGGTCTCCGTATCCGTATCACAAAAGCGTAATATGATCGCATATATACTTGCTTAAATGACTACACGATACGGCAAGACGTTTAGTGCGAATGCGAACGCGAACCCGAGAAGACCAAGTTGTTCCACAACGGAATACGGAACTTGATACGTCACGATACTGTCTTGGTGATAGAATCGAGCTAATAATACAATATAGACGAAGCTATACGTAATGCGGTGTACGCGTATCATTCCTTTCTATACATAATATTTCAGAATCTTGCCTGATACATGGTATCACATTTGAGATTGTTCATTAACTCTAAGCCTCAGAATAATGACTATAACTACGTATAACTAAATTCTATATCCGAATATCCGTGGAAGCAATGAACCATTTATCATTTTAACTACAAGTAGGCACTTTGCTCACACAATTTTATGGGTAAAGCTGATAGAATCATATACAACTATTAAATTGGAGCGTGATCCGTTAATTAAACGTGTAAATCCGTTATTTATTTCCCCAAAGACGGCTGCCTGCGACATGCTATGCGACATTTTATATTATTTTGGCGGTATTAACACTCTTGGCAATTCATTAACACGTGGTGTTGATTACAACAATGACTTGTTCTTTTTTGTAGCGTTTCGTGTCATTATAATTAATTGGATTTTGTGAAGGGGAAGTGTATTAAAATCATAATTATGTCACCATCGAGGAAAGGTAACAGCACTTAATCCAAATCAGCAAACAAGTAAATCAAAAGCAGAATACTTTTTCGAGTTGATTTTTCAAAATAAACTTTTTGTAAAGTGAAACATACTTTTCCAGTCTATATGCTGATAAAATGGTTTACTACTCATCAATGAGGATACGTAACGATTTTAGTTGAGAATGCAGGTTTATTGAGCTAAGGATTCCATAAAATACAGTGGTTATTTTTTTTCTACGACAAATATTGACGAAGTTATGACCAGATTACTAAACTAATTTGCGACTGGCCGCGTGGTGACTACGACGTCACAGAGCTCTAGCGTACGGGCACGAGCGTGCGTAGTGACGCTGCTAAAGTTCGACCGGAGTGAACCACAATCGAGCTTTGTGACATAACACGTTTCGATTCGATGATTTAAAAAGCATATAATTTAAAAAGCTTATCAGATCATTATACTGTTGATTTTGAGTTGATTTGATGACCTAGTAATGATCCTCATCGGGATAAATAAAGCATTTACTTACGCGTTCAGTGTGCGATGGCAGAAGTAAAGCAATTTTAGAAATAACTGCTCTTACAAGGAAGATATCAAACGGAAACCAGATCGACTCATATTACAACACCGTCAAAATGAAAAGCGCGAGTGACCTTTTCATGGTGCTCTTACTTATTTCATACATTTAACTTACCAAATATATATTCCTTTTATGAACAAGATAAGACACTAGACATCGTTTGAGATTGTTTTCAAACGCGTTTAAATTTCTTTCCTTTTCGATTATTTTTATGATAGCACTTGACATGACTCTTCGTAATCTGCTATTTTTCAACTTGACAGCAGTCTCTCCCTTTGATTCCCTATAAAGCAGGATAAGGTTATACGCTATCAAACCTACAATCAGTGTTGCCAACTGAATTTCAGAAAATTAGTAGATTATGTGCCAAATGTTGGTAGAACTTGGTAGAATGTAAAATGCAAAATTGGTGGACCTACCATCTCAATTAAGAAGATTTTTAAAAATTAAAAAATGGATGAACTGTTCTTAAAATGTTATTTTTTTTCATATTTGATCTGAGTCCTAACCTAGAACTCTGTGTATCGCTTTCGCTGCTGTCAGAAACCATTATATAAATAAATACATGCAACACAGAACAAGCGGCAATCAGCGCCGTTATTACGTAGTTATTTAGTTTTAACAACAAAACAACACAAAACAAGAGCAAAGATTCACCATTGATTCCGCAACAAACTAACCAAGACTGGGCCGCAGAACAGTATAATAATGACTATGGGCGCGAAACGGTGCGAACGGCGAACTGTTGCTGAATTTTTTTGTGGTTTATGGCCTGGACTCTATGTATGCTTATCGCATCATCGCATGACTCGTGAAACACACTACAACGTCAAAAGGTGGTGATATGTCAAACTAATTAAAAAAATAGGTAGTTTTTAGGTCTAGGGTGGTAAATAGGTAGACTGAAGTGAAAATTGGTAGATCTACCAAAAAGTTGGTAGATATGACATCACTGCGTACAATAGTAAACATATTAGCATTATGCTTCTACCACACCTGTGCCACTTAGCTTGGTATTAAATGCGCTATAATAATAACTATTCGAAATTTTAATTTAATTCTATCGTAATGAATTATCGAACTGTATCCTTAGTACGAACTAATATCGAATTGGTAACGGATGCGAGACAGAAATATCATTGTGAAAGGTGTACTGATTTTTAGTTCTCTTTACGTACTTTGTGGCGCTGCTGTTCAAGATTCCATACAAAATTTTACATTGACATTTCGCACCCGCAAACGTTACGAATTCGATATTGTTTCGTGCCACCCCTACTGCTTGTCTACGGCGCTACACGATAGCTTGACTGGCACTTTGACTACAGTCATAGGCACCCAATAATTCGCACCGTCGATGTTGTCGGTCATGGTTCTTCTTCCCTATTCCATCTAAAGGACATTACCCCAGCAGTAGAGACATTTATGTGCTGATGATAGTTCCAAAAAAAATACATTTAGACATTATAACATTTGAATATAGAAAAGAAAAAGAAAGAATACCAAAACACTAGCTTATTTCTACTACAATTAGTTTTAAGCTATGTCACAACGCTACGCACGGAAATCTTACGCGCTTTATATGCGTTTAAAATGTTTTGCTAAGATGATTGCTTTTAGATTTTCATATGAGACGACGTCAAATGATGGACTGTTGTAGTCAAAGGGCCACAACAGTCACCGTAACTAACATGCCTACCTAAAGATATCCAATATAATATCTGCTCCTGCAGCAACAAATAAACATAGAAATTCAGTGTGCACGCGTACTATAATGGATTATATTGTTCGCAGTGTCAAAGGCGGAAATACTGTCCGGGCCGGAGCTGTTTGTGAGGGCTGGATCGGACATCAATCTCACTTGTGTCGCGAAGCACGCGCCCGACCCGCCGAGGTGAGAATATTATGCAATCAAATGGAAGGTTGGCTACGAAACGGGTGGGTAAAGAGGAGAGATGCCTTCATTTATTTGCTGCGGTATTCCTCCGAGGATAAGCGGGGTGAAATGGCTTTGGGCTCTTGTACTCACATAATCAATACAACACTTTTTTTACGAACGTACTTGTAGAAATATTTGAATGCGATCTTTGGGAAGCTAACATTAATGAAGTCAAACAGGATTAATTACTATATTAATTATTATTGAAGTTATACTTCTTTAGCCGCGTTATGAAAAAATGATGAGAGTGAAATTTTAAGATGCGCGCGCATCACTGTAACACAGTAGTAACACCATGAAGTTGGCCGCGGGCGCGTTATGAATGGTAGTGTCTAATAATGGTGGATTATTAACCACTAAGTGGTTATCTGTTCGAAAGGTACTTTGAACAATCCACGGAGCTCCATAAGATGATCGCGTTGTCAAAAACAATGTTGGCACGCTCGTCGCCTCTGATCACTGTTTTCATATTTATAATATTTATCCACATGTTTCTAGTTTCTATATAGACACAACGTGTTTTAGTTACTTACAAGTGCTAATTACATATGGACTAATAACTTAAATTCAGTAGTGATTTTAATTGAATATTTTGAATATTTATTTAATTTTTCAAATTAAAACTGAACTTAATTGACTGTGTCAACTATCCTTTTCCAGTCCTTTTATTATTTTATTGTAATTATTAATTATTTGCATGCAATTAAAAAATATTTTTAATGATGCTAAAGAAGTATAACTTCTCACGCGCGTACATAAGTTACACGCATCCATTTTTTTTAACAGTTAAGAAGAATGTTATTGTATGCGTGATAGGTAAGAGTATGTATCATAATAAGCAGTAGCATAGTAAAATTTTACTATGCTATTAACTGAATAATTAGTTGAAAGGATAGTCTGTAACAAAAATCTTAAGAAATGCACTTTTTACACTATCGAATATACATTCGATAATGTAAAAAGTGTGTTTATATTGTTATGAAAGAAAATGAACAATTTAACACTTACGACTTCCAATAGTAAAAGCAAGAAAGAGGCTTTGTGTGAAACAAGTTCATTGGACTAACTGTCATAGGTATATACTTGATCTTTTGTTCGTTAATTATTAAGTTTTAAATAATCTAATAAAATGCCTTAGCCTAAAATTGATGAATAACATTCATTTATTCATATTCATTTATTTAATTAGAAATTTCATCCGCTCGTTTTTGGGCCCAAACACAAAGCAATCAGTGCTCAACTGCGACGTCAAGAAAGAAATGCCACTCTAAAATCTCATTAAGAAACTTAATTAGGCGTCTTATGTAATTTCAAATATTTAAACCTAATTTATTGCATTCCTTTTCAATCTTTTCTACACAAAAGCTACAATATTTGAGTTAAGTAGGTACGTGATGTAGACTCTTAATGAAATCCCTCTGGTAAATTTGCTTTGCGATCTTTCTTTGTTAAGAATTGAAAATAATTTCTCGCTCGGTGCGTTAAATTCGATTCCCTCCTGATATTAAAACTCTAGCGGAGACATCTATTTGTTCTGCAGCTAATTCTTGCTAATAATAACTTTTAAGTACGATTCAGAACTTTTCCTCTAAAGACTCCGGAACAGAATAAAACAATGTTTTCATTTCTGTTGAACTCTGGGATAATTATTAAAACAGAGCACAAACGCTACCCTCCGGTAATTATAAAGCCAGATGACTTGCGAGACATTTCTTTATGAATCAAATTAAAGAATTAATTACGTTCTTCGGTCATTCCGTTTATCGACTCTTGGCTATAATATCGTTTACATATTCAAGTCACAGATTAAAGTAATTTAAAAAAGACATTGCCATTATTAATAGGTTTAAATATAACATAAAACAATAAATTAAGATTGTGATTTCCTTGATGACAAAAAGTTGATTAATGATACCATACTTAAACTAACAAGTTCAAGTCATGGTACTGAAATTTATGGATTAATTACTGAAAATTTAGTGCTTTTACACTATAGATGTTACAAGCTATCAGAACAACACTAAGCTTAGGGTTATATGTTCTAATTTCAAAGAAAAAATTACTAGAAAAAATTCCACGCGGAACAGGCAGCAGATGTAACAATGCTTGGCATTGTTTTTGCTTAATGCTTAAAAAAATAAAATTATAGCTTTAATTGCTATTTCTTCTTTCAAATGTTTAATACTTGTAAAGGTATTCATTTAACATTGTAGGTTACCTACAATGCAAAGAGATGGCGATACCTTGCAGCTTAAGAAAGATTAGAGAGAATTCGACACGGTTGTCAGGGCCGCGGTAGCATAATGGTCAGTGCATTCGCCCAGATAGCGAAGAGTGCGAGTTCGAGTCCCGTCTGCTGTTTGGTCCGCGTGGCATTTTTTCTAGTAATATTTTCTTTGGATTTAAACATCCTAGCAGGTACATGCTTAAAAAATAAAAATTATAACTATATGTTCTACCTTTTTTTGATTAAAGGAATCAATTTAGATGTCAATTTTTGAGATTGGCCTAGGGGGCACGATGCAATGAACGCTGTGAATAGGCGACCCGTCTTTCAGTTCCTGGTACTTTATAATGAAAGTGTGTTATCATGTACCTTTTCACACCCACCGTGCCCGTACATTTAGTCTTCGCATCCATAAACATGATAAGCTCATTTCTAGATAAAAGGGTCGGGCGAATCCCTAAGTGAGGCATTCTTTGACTATCACCATTTAATGGGACCCAGTGTCTGAGATCTTTCAGCGAGGGACCTTCAATTTGAATATTGATAGGATGATACGCTTGTGTTATGTGGAGTTGACATTTTTTTATTCAGGTTTCCCCCATAAGTTACATTTACGGCGCCGCGGGCGAATAAAGGTTATAAAATAATATTCCTTTATTAGGTCTCGTGTGATTTTTCGTTGAAAGCGACTTGAAATCTAATTTTGTTTTTATCGTCATATTTTTTGTTTGGCGCTTTTTTGGTACTCTTATTTGTGAAGGTGAAGAAGTAATTTGTCTATACATTTCTTTAGTTCCCATTGAATACCAAATTGTAACACGATATCTGATGTTAACAATTTCCAGGTATTTTTTTTGCCGATAAATCTCTCGTTCGTTTAATGGAATCGTAACTCCGCTTTTACCTTTGTAAATAAGTATTCGCACCTTATTTTAATTTATCTTCCTCATTTTCGAGGCTTTCCCAGCCTAATAATGAACATTGTATATTATCTTATTTATTCTTGATGGATAGGGATATACTTCTGACAAATTTGGTTTTAGGTTTAGATTAGCATTGTAGACTTAGGCATTATATCACAATAGAAAAATTATGCCCAGAAATACATTTTGTAAGTGTTTACTTCTCTATTATTATATCTTAGGTCTGATAGTTATTTTTAATTTTCTCTTCATCAAAAATGACCAACTCAAGATTTCACGTGTGTATATATTTTACATAAATGCCACTTATAAAGGATTTAGACCTAATATCACCAACCATTTTTATTTATCTGGTCAAGTCCTTTAAAGGACTGTTAATGTTTTTTTGTGTTTCATCAAATATGAACAGAGGATTTTCCTCCTTATGCGGTGTTAAACTTAATCACGGGCATAGAGGTCCGTTACCTGTATAACAGACGATTTTTATGTGTCAAACTACGTCATTAATGCATGTAATTTTAAACTATTTTGAATGAATACCGTGGTCAATGTATTTGAATTCCTACCAATAAAATGAAAAAGATATGAAAAGTTACCACATACAATCAAAATAACAAACCATAAATCTCAGAAATATTTGACATTTCAACGAGCAAACACAAGATAAAAGTGATTGTGTATCAAATCTATCTAGTGAATGTCAATTCAGTTTTGGTCACCTTACCTTATTATGCTTCCGTGAAAAATATGACACGTATTCATATTTATACAAAAACAAACATAAACATTATTTTTTAAGTCGTTTTAAAATATGATTTTCAACTTATTCGCTTGATGGTTGTTGTGGTAATGGTCCGTTACATTTTTAGTATAGGACGTAAACTAATTTAACAGCCTTGTTAGTTTTAAAGAACCATTAGCTAAGAAACGATTTGAAGAAGTTTGGTCCTTAATACTGTTCCATAATATAATGCATATAGTTATATAGTACTTTGTAGTAATGTAGTGTGCCGTTAACTGTTCGACTGTGTTGAATAAAAGATGTCAAAATTGGTTTACCCATATCTACGTTTTCGTAGAAGCTTAATCTAGAGTAGAATAGGTATTCTCTTCTCTTATTCTCTGATAGGTCATTTGTCCTTAATACGAAAAGCCAGTGGTAATACGTTGTGATATATATACCATACTTTAATAATATTTGGCCGCTGACTGTCCACATTGCCGACGAGAACTCGCTCCAGTAGTTTGTCGCTGAGCGACAAAAGCTATAAAAGATAATACTCGCTCAGCAATGCTCGCTTAGCCGTCAGAGCATGAACACGCGAGTAATCACCCGCCGTACTTGCTTACAGCCCAGCCGTAAAACTATCGGAACTATCGGTTCGGTCGGTCGGTGGTTCAGTAAATAGTTTCTAGTTCTAATCGCTTCTCGTTCATCGTCGACGGTGGGACAAGTGCCTAAGGGCTTTAGGGCTGAAGGTAAACATGGTTGGAAGGGATTTTTGTCGTACATCTATATTCATAACCGATCTTTATTATAGTCTATTTTATTTAATCAGACGGGGTGGGGTAATTAGCTACGCCTTGTAATTTATATAGAACTAGCGATCATAAAAAAATATTTTAACGTCTTAAAATACAGCGTTTGTCCGCTTTTGTGACCATGAAGCGCGAGCCGACCGAGTGTAGTGAGCGTGCCGCGACAGCGGCCGGCAGTAAACAGTTGAGAAACATCGTCACCATTGTCTAATTATCCGCGTTTCATCCCTAGGATTTTTGTAAAAAAATAATTTTTCTGATCATCCTACGACTTCATACAAAATGTAGTACATATACCTATAGACGCCTCCGTAAGTAGGAAACATGGAAATTACAATTCCTTTTATATTTGCTACATCCCAGTCCATTTCAGCTTCTCTACTTTGCATTCAGCAGTCGCTGTATCCAAACCTGTTGGTTTTCAGAAATATTCACGACTTCTTTGAACGCCACTTTGATCGTAAATTCTCTACGCAAACATTTTCTTCGAACTTATAAACATTTCGGAATTAATAGGAATTACAATGGGGGTTCAAAATCGCCAACTGTTCATGATATTAAATTTCTACTTAATGGATTTTATTATTTAATAATCACCGTTATGAATATTGTGATTTATATTCTCTTTCAAGTTAATGTAACGTGAACAGGAGATACAATCTCATATATTTTAAAGCAATTCTAAACACAAGTTTATTTTCTAAATTAATTTTGGCGAGATCCAAACATTTGAGTATATACAACTCTAAGGTCCACTCAAAATTATTTGTTTTTCCATATAGCTTCATATTATAATAGTATCACAACGAGCAAGTACACTGAACTTTGGGGCCATTGTACTAAACTAAAAATACAGTCACATATTTGAGGAGATTTCATTATTAACGATGCTTTTAATATAAATCCTTTCCTTTTTTCCATACAGCTTCATCTACTGGTACCGAGGCGAGCAGGTCGTAAACTATGCGCAACGTGGCGGCATCAGTGTGGAGACTGAGCAACGCACGAGAACCAGTCGACTGCTGATAGCACGCGCCGCTCCACACGACTCCGGGAACTACACCTGTGCACCGAGCAGCTCCGGTAAGAATCTGTCCTTATTAAGTACCATGCAAAACGCTAAGCGGGTGCAATTCTTAATGTTGAAACCGAGCATCGCAAGAGGAGCATTCGTCTGCTGATAGCGCACACCGCTCCACACAGGACGGCAACTATACCTTTCCACGGAGCAGCTCCAGTGAAAATCTATTGTCATTACCACACCCACAATGCAGTGGCTTAGTTTCGAGACTGAGCAGCATACCAGGACCAGTCGTCTGCTAAGAGAGCGCACCACTCCTTCGATCAGCTCCAGTAGGAATCCATTGCAATTTCTATTCTAAGCGCAATTCAGTGGCTTTGTGTCAAGACTGAGCAACACGCGAGAAGCAGTCGTCTGGTGATGGCGCAGGCCGCTCCACACGACTCCGGGAATTACACCTGTGTACCTAGCAGCTCCAGTGAGAATCTGTTGTCATTGCTATACCCAGCTTAATGCAGCTGCATTATAGGCCGCGTAGACGAGGGACTTTTGCCCGCGGACTCTCTCGTCTGCCAGAGTAGATCGTTGACAACTTCATCAATTAACACACACGACGGATTAAATGTCAAAAAGTCCCCCTAACAACCGAGGACACCAAGAGACCGAACAGGACAAATTTTCCCCGGGGCCCCAAAAAAATAGAACTCATGTGCGCGTAGTCAACGCATAGCAACGCACACATCGATTTTTATTCTGCGTTGCGCGTATGCACAGGCCATAAGTGTCGCATGAGGTTTTATATGCCATCAGCTAATATGTTTTAGACACTTCTAACTGACAAGTACGAACAAAACTTGTTCAATATCTAAGGGGTTCGCGTACATAAGCAAAAGTACGGTTAAGTACGGGACTTATTTGGAAACATGTTACATTAAGACCATTACAATCTTCATCTCAATCCCCAGAGAAGGGGATGATGAGACATGACCGCCGATTTTATCAAGTTCTTTTTATAAAAACGTAACGTTAGCGCGACTCAAAAGTCGTTGCCGTTGGTACCCGCGGTAGCATTGTGGAACTAATGATATTTTAGTATGCTTTTTATTTTATTTTTGTTGCAATGCAAAGTTTTACACTGCAATAACTTCATCTATGTCACAATTAATGTTTTCTTCTAACGAATTTCCAACAGGTAAGAAATTTTCTTTTACCAAATTTTAACGACTATTACTCTTAAACTAATAAATCTATCTTAACCGTTATAGTTTTCCTTAAAAGTTTATGAAAAGCACTATTTGTATGAATTTTCCCAGGTTTTCAAGCCAATAGTTTAGTTTTTAAGAGGGGGGGGGGAGGCGTTTCGCAAACGGGTCCCTAATAATTTTAAAGGACCTATTTATCGATATCCCACATTATGGGGTTCATGATGAAAAATAAATCATCCCCAGGTTACATGTAGGGGATGATTTTTTTTCTACCCTAAAAAAGTGTTTTTAAACTGGAGGCGCTCGGAATCAGAGGAACCCCATTATCGTGGATATCATCATACTTGAATGTTCGTCAACAAAAAGTTATTATTAGTAAAATATATAATGGTGAGATGAGATATGTATCACCTCAATGTAGATAAAACTCATCTGGCGGTCCACAAGAAAGTGTGCTGGGACCTATTTTATTTCTGCTCTACATAAATGATATAACAGAAGTAACAAAACATAAATATACTTTGTATGCTGATGATATAACAATAATTGTAACAGCGAATGACTCCAAAAATAATATGATTTTAAAAAAACACGAATCTGACCTTGATAATACTATTGACATCACAATTAATTAGTGTTATAATAATAATTTAAATATCAATCTTGACAAATCATATTTTATTCAATTTAATAAATCAAAACATAAACAATATAATTTAACTCTCAATGTGACAAAAATAAGTAAAGTGCGACACCTAAAATTTATAGGTGTAACCATTGATGAAGACCTTAATTAGAAATTAAATGGAGATAATTTATGTAATAGGATAAACAAATTCTTGTATGTTTTTAAATGTGCTACGTTACGTACTATAATGTCCTATCATGCCTATACAGATTCTATTTTGCACTACACTACTAACACTACTACAAACAAACAAAAGTGTTTGTTGCTCAAAAAAAATGCATTTGGGCCATCTGTGGAGTATTTCCAGACGAGTCATGTAGACCGCTGTTTAAGAGTCTTGGATTGTTGCCACTACCTTCACTTTACATTTTCGAAGTTGCGGTTTTTGTTCATGAAAATGAGGAATTATTTAAAAAAGTTCATAACTTCAGATTAAGAAATCCTCACAGGTTAAAATTTTATGATACGTGTCTGAGTACGACGGTAAAAATTTTATGATACTCTGATAAGTATGCAAAAAGTTGTCTTTGCATATGTGTCAGAATTAATATTATAATTCCTAGAGATATAAATATTTTTAAACACAAACTTTCATATCGCACATTTTTCGTGATAGAGGTTCATTCTGTTTTATTATTTTGTTTTAATTAAGTTGTTAATTTATTAATCATTCAATGTATTATTTTAGATCATAAAAGCCCGAATTACAGGTACAATTTATACTGTAACCTAGTTCAGGCATCCATTATTTTGTACTTTTTATTATTATTAGTATTATTATGCAATGTATGACTTTATTTAAATAAAGATATATTATTATTATTTTTCTTAAACAAGAAGCTATGACATTTTTCAATTAATTGTATCTGATTCTATTTTATTCAATTTCTAATGTTCCGAATCTATATACCCTAGTCTGTGTAGCCCTCCACTTTGTTTTTCACACTCCTCCTATACATTGCGTACTGGAAAAAAAATGTATTTTCAACTTCAAAATACAAATGATTCCCACGTATAATATTTTGTAATATTGTTTGAGTGTACAGAAAGCGTAGTTTTAGTCTTTATCATAGGATTTTTTACACCCTGTATATTAGACGTGTAAATTAAAACCATTACTAAATATGATAAAAATCAAAATATAAAAATAATATGCTCAACTCGTGGCAGAAATCTTTCACTTACACAGAGGAGGGGTTAAAATATTATTTGACATATTTTGAAATGAATATGCTATTTTATCCTATTCACATGCCATTTAACTTTAAATTCATTTGCATGCTAGACTTATATAGCAAAACATGTGCACATTATTAATTTTGTACCAACTAGTTATGATCGCCACAGCCGGATTTCTAAAAAAACTAAATTTATTACAACTTATTTAATATTACAAGAAAAATAATAATTATTTTAATGAAACGAATTGATTCGATCGATCCTAGATTCGAAGTGCCGGTTTCGCGTTGTCACGTAGGTAGGAGAGCAGCGGCTTGCACGAGGCACTCGCATGTTGCAGTCTCAGCGATTCAGAAATCAGAAATCAATATATCTTTATTCAAATTGGATGTATAGTACAACACTTTTGAATCGTCCAAACATTTTTTTCCCTATCACTTGTTATTGGACATATTTTTTAGCTGCGGAGAAAAACGAGCGAAAAAAACACCACAACATTAAAAGCATAATGTAACAACATTTACAAATCATTATGTTGTTACAACGTCAATACAATCATTATTTATTTAATATAGAAAACCTGTTGGAATGATTGGAACAGTTCAAACCCAAGCATTTTTGTCTGTAATGTAATCAGATACTTTGTAATAAGCTTTTTTAATGAGTGCTTTTTTTTATACTATCTTTGAATTTATTTATGCTTAACTCTTGGATATTGCTTGGGACTTTATTGTATAAGCGAACACAAAGACCTTTAAATGAATTATTGATTTTGTGAAGTCTAGTAGCAGGTAAAGTTAGTTTGTTTTTTTTTCTTGTATTAAGTGTGATTCCGTAGTAGCTGCGAAAATCAGGTCGATAGCGTGGAAATGACGTCTATGAATTTCGTGCCAGCGATCTGCATAGAGGCGCGCGGTGTAAAAAACTCATAATACCGTGTTTTAAGCAAATAAATTATTATTATTCATTTTGGCACTCATAAGTTACACATTTCCAAATTATTTGATACATCAGCGGATGGTATAAAAAACTCTACTTAAAAATATGTAGTGTGAATTACAATTTCCATTTCCTTAATGCAATATTTTATCCGTAATTCAGTCGAACAAGTAAAATGAAGAGAAATTTATGAACATCGTTTTAATAACACTGTAGTGCCCATAAATCATAACATTATGACCAATTAATGTACGGAAACAGATTAATATTTCACTGTTACGACTATCAATCGTAACGAATTATTGGCTACAACGTGACGCAACTATTGCAATTACAACGCGCGGGATAATAAGATTATACGAATTATTCGATTAAACAACATTTACAAAACACACTGATTAGCCGATGCTAAATTTAAACTGGTAAAATGTATATCTGATACAAAGTAATATAGATCGGACGCGATACTTTGCCCCATCAATTATTCCATTCGAAATTGGAACGAACAGAAAATATCATCGATTTTTATTAATGTTCAATTACTAGCTGATTGTTGTTAGCTAGCGTGTTTAAACAAAGTCCATTTATTATTTATCTAAAGAAAAGCACTGTACAGTGCGTTTCATTTAAGTTTAAGTACAACTCTCAAGTTCGCTCGGAGACGTTCGCGGTGTTCAACCTAATTTAAGTTTAAATCTGGTTCGGATTGTGTGTCTTGAGGAGGCATCGTGGAGCAAGAAGTAAACTTGCGAATCGCAAACTTAAGCAGCTTAGTCCAATACTTTTCGTGGTGTATACCACGGTCAAACTTATCCAAAATGTCTGTTAAGAAGACTAATTAGACTTTTAATTTATTGGGTAGGTTCCACAGTTATAGAAATAGAAGGTAAATTCCATATTCTTAAATTCTTATGCCCGTATTAAAATACGTAAAATAAATGTATCGTCATTTAAATTAACTGATGATGACGGCTGATGTGATTTAGTCAATTTACGAAAATGTATGGCGCCTTGCGGCTGACGTCTGTGGTAGGCCGCTGCGTCCGTAGCAGATTTCAAAAACGGTGCCATACATTTTCATAAACTGACTATTGTTGCATCAGCCACGAAAGATTGCGCGTGGCTGCGATCGGCCGCGATGCACGCAAATCTATCTTTAGCCAAAGAAGTTACAGCAATAACTTTAATCAAACTTCAAAGTAAATCGACGTCTCTGAGTACGGCCGTTAGAAATGCATCTATTGACTGAGATAGGTATTAGTATATTGCATTTGAATTAAATTTCAATGATGAAAATGAATATAATGGTAGCTAATGTTCCGTGATAAGTTGAATCTGTATTTAAAAATGCAATATTCTTAGAAACTATATTTGCATAAACTTAACCCACACCCTAAACTAAGCAATCAACAATAGTCTTTACTTCAAGGAGCTCCAATAACCTTATTAAGGCTGCCTGTCCGCTAGAGCGGAGCGAGGCTGCAGAGCGGAGAAACGGAAAAAATATTAACCAATAGGATTGCACAAAATCTCCGCTCCTCTTCAGTAGACAGATTTTGTGTAATCCTATTGGTTAATATTTCTCCGTTTCTCCGCTGCGCAGCCTCGCTCCGCTCTAGTGGACAAGCAGCGTTATTGCAAGAATACAGGAATTCCGTCTTATGATCTCTGTTTGTCTTACTATTTGCTTCAAGTTACAATAGTTCCACTAAATTTAGTTCCACAGGATTTTTTCTGAAGATTTCTCTTTGTTTCTGTGCAGAGTCAGCGTCGGTGATCGTGCACGTACTAAGTGGAGAACGGCCAGCTGCGATGCAGAGCTCAGGTTCCACCCCACCGCGCATGGACCGAGCCATTCTCGTTGCCGTCGCCACCGTGTCCGCGGTCAACCAGCCCAAACCCTGGCTGCTAGTACCACTCACCCTAGCAGCCCAGTACCTCTCAGCCGTCACTCTACTCCTCATCACCTTGCTATCTTACGTCGTCCTCTCACACAAACCAGCTACGAGATGACCATATTAAAAGGGAATGCGACACATGACAAATTTTGTAAAGTTAAAAATTTTAAGAAATGACAAAAGTTTAATTTGAATTTGTAGGTATAATTTTATGAGAAACGTTGAGTTTATAATAATTGGTGTATTTAATACAACGATGAATAGATTTATAAATGATTATGATTAACGAAGAGGCAACAATGTTTTTTAATATTCTAAATTGGGTATCGACAACTTTCGATAAATGTTATAAATATATTTTTTTTTATATAGATGAGCCCTGTTCTTTTGGTATTAACGTGCAAAGGCATAGATTGAGAACAATAAATATTTTATAAATAGTTTGAGAGGATAAATAGAGCCATGCGCCGTCGCCACTATCTCCGCTGTCAACCCAAACACCCAAAAAACCCAAACCCAATCCGCTTTATTACAGAGCATTGACTAAAGTTAAAACTGATGCTGTCACTTTTGTTTGCTAATAGAAGACAATGACAGGTTAGGTTGAAACCAAGACCAATAAATAATAAAGTCCGTGTTTTGGATTAAGGCGGTTTTGTATAATTTTATGAGAAACTTTAAGTTTATAATAGTTGCTGTATTTAATACAACGATAAATAGATTTATACATATTAAAATAATATGAATAACAGACAGATAACAATGTTTTTAATAATTTTTAATTGTGTATCGACAATGTTCGATAATTATTGTGTGTAAGCGTTTTTTTTTTTCATAGATTAGCTCTTTTATCTTGGTATTAACGTGCGAATGCATAGATTGGAAACGATTATTCTTTTATAAACAGTTTAAGAGGATTAATGGAGCGCATTTACTTCCCAAGAAGCTATTGTAAGATTAGCCGCTGCTGGCTCCGTTTTGTTTTTCCAGCTAACTACGCCCGTCGCGTCGTCTTAATCCCGTGCTGAGATTACGACAGAATCGATTTCATTATTCCCATCCCGAACGGTACAAGATTGAATCGGGTCAAGAAGCTTATCTATGTGTGACGTGTCTAAGCACCCACTTGTTCTCTTTACCACAATATTTGTGTTCGATCTAACTTAGTAAACAAACATACGCTTCTTGCTCGTAGTCAACCTATATCTATTGAGCAATCGTATTCTATCTCTCAGTATATCGATCCGATTATATCATTTTTTCTGATGACGTGTTACTATGTCAGTCTGTTTAATAAAACTTGAAATATTTACGATTGAATAAAACTATTCATCGAAGTTCTGAATATTACTTTAATTTGATAAGCAGAATAACTTATCGTAAGAGAACGGACTTGAATTAATAGGCTAGTTGACCCTTTTTGGAAAAAGGGTTTAAAACGGTTAATAAATGTTCTATTAGACCGAAAAAAATGTATTGTATTTTTTTGAGACCTAGAAAGCTACAAATCTTTAATTTTGAAATAGACTTTTCGTGGACATACAAAAACGCTGTCGGCCATTTTAGTCTTTAGATTATCTATGTTATGACGTCGACGGTAGTAAACAAAAACTCGTAAGCACGTAGAAAATAACCTATCTGAGTTTATAATAAAAAAAAACATGATTTCTAATAAATACCACGAAAAATATAGTAACTAGCATTACTGTATTGTACGAGAATGTAAAAACACATCCTTAAAGACTCCAGGAAAGTTGTGGATTAAAGTGCTGAAAGAAATTAACCTACGCAATACCTGGTTAGAACTGCAACGTTATCGACTCATAAGTAGTAAAATTTATTTTTGCGAAGATCACTTTGATGTAAGTATTCATTGAATAATATTTTAAGAGTCTTTATTTATTATCAGTTTTAATAATACAAGTTTTAAAGTTATGTATGAATGACATATAATTGTTTACTAAAAGAGACGTCACATTAATGGCGGATGTGGCGAACAGCGTTTTTAGTGTTTAAAAAGTATAGACTAAAAATTATTTTTCTAAATTAATTTTCTACAGCAATCTTCTGCTTTTATGAAGTGAAATCGATATATTTAGGTTTCTTAGACCAAATACTTTAAGAAATAAACATTTATTTAATACAATTCGACATGAGTCAACTAGCCTATTGTAAAGCTACTAAAGACATTTTTTTTTCTTGTATAAAATCTCGCCTGAATGAGTCAGTGCCGTATAAGGAAATCTCATTTAAAAATCTTTCCTAGGTTAAATCGGAATTGTACGTGCATTTGCAACAACAATAGCCGTAGGAAGTAACCAAAAAAAAATCATCCGCTTCGGTTTCGCCGTGTTAACGGGTTGAATAACGTAATCCGCTGAATAAATCATCGCGTTTGAACTAAAATTTTTGTTGTTTCCTGTTGAAATTTTCGTGGGCTTAGTGAAAAATGCGCGTCGTTATTTTTATTTTGCTTATCAACAGTCGTTTGATGGTGAAAATAAATTCAGCGTGTAGCTAATCATTTTTTTTGCAAGGCGTCGTATTGGATGGCTGCACAAGTGAAAACACAAAATCCGAACTCGAATATTTTATTCGACATAGATAAAACATTTTACCCTAACTCCGAAATGGATGGGCGCTCGGTATAATAACACTTTGCAAGATTAAATGAAATAAACCTTACCCTCTTCTGCAAGAGGATTTTTTTTTCGTATAAAGGACTATCAGACAAAAATTACGTCGTAAAAAAGGAAACCTGGGCATAATTTTGTTCCAGTCCATTTGTAGAAATCTGTTGGATCATTACTAAACGTTGCTCTCGGTTAGTTTGCTTTTATATCGTGTTCGACCTTGTTCCTTACTTACGCGAGAGTGAGGGCACAAAAACAAATTTACGAGTTTGTAAGTAAACGAATAAGATAAAAGGGTGGCCCGGGAAACTGTTGTCCACTCCTTCATAGCTAGAAACTATCTATGTTTCCACAATTTATATTCCGCTTGAAAGACTCAACAAATTTAACATACTTTGTCAAAGACAAATAAATTGTATATACAAAACTGTTAATTACTTTCTTTAGAGTATTCGAATGTTTATATAAGTATTTACGAGATATATAAAGTTGATATCAAGAAAAAAAATCGTAGCTCTAAGTTTACGCTTAGATAATTTGTAAATATTGAACTTGGAAAAAATTGTAAATAAATCTTAATGTAAATAAACAAATTATTTGGGAGATCATGTTTTTTTAATTCCTTTTGACAGCCGAAATACGTGATGTTGTGTATTTAAATTCATTTTTAAGAGCGACGATTCAATAAAATTAATTGTCGTCAAGTAACTTTTACAAGTAGTTAAAAAAAGGGTTGTGTAATAAACTATCATAAATTAGATGTATCTATATATGTTACGTGATGATTTATAAGAACACATAATAGTAATAAATCATAGAAAAGTAATTGTGTTTTATTTCTTTTTAATAGAAGCATTACCAATTTTATAGTTCCGTCTATTCACCATATTGGATTAAGAAAGTCGTTGTGGCGACTGGATTCCAAGAATGCTGACTTGATATAAGCGTCGACGCGTCGTCGGCGGTGACGCGAGCCAGTCGCACATAACCACCGATCCCGTCATGCTCATTCTTAAGTCATTGTAATAGTAGGCATAACAGTTAGAAAATGGAGATTATATTTTGGAGTCAGAGTAATTTAGATCAATCTTGATGAAGTGAATAAACAGTCAGTGATTACTCATAACACCTTTTATTTAACGTTCACATTAGGCACCCCTAACCTAGCAAACTCTTATAGACTCCCCAGACCTAAGACTCAGTTCCCATCCGAGGAAGGACGTTTAAAATCATTTTAAAAGATTCACTTGCATCGTGGTTTAATAAAACCCCACCAATTTTGTTTCATCGGATTGAACTTTTACATGGGCTAGGCAAAAAGGTGGCCGTGGGAAAAACGGAGGCAATCCTTTTCCACGGCTTTAGTGTAGGTGAATGACAACCACCCCCTCATTGCACGTGTTATGATTTCATTACCTATTTATTTTATAAACACTTTGGAACTTCTATAAAGTTATAAAAATAAATAGAATTGAAATATAACTGTACAATAGACTCAGATTTCTTTAGTTTATAAGAAAAATAACTACCTTCGAAATTATAAATATTTAAAAAAAACACTATTTATTCAATTCGATTCAAAAGTCATTTATTCAGTTTAAGCTTTTACAATTACATGTGAAAGTCGAAAACTTCTCCATCGGTTCGCAAAACAACGGCGGGAGACCTTGTACTGAGAAGAACCGGCAAGAAACTCAGCTAGGGCTGCTCTTTTCTCCCTGTTTTATTTCATACAGATTATTTAAACCAAAATATCAAAACAAAGTATAAAATCTTTACTCACAAATAACTAAACTTCTTTTGTGAATGACAAAAGCATATTTATAATTTTTATTATTTTAAAGCATGAAATTGCTTGATGTTTAAATCTAAAGAAAATATAACTAGAAAAAATTCCACGCGGACCAGGCAGCAGACGGGACTTGAACCCGCACCCTTCGCAATCCGGGCGAATTCGCAATTCGCAATCCGGCCCGTGCGGGTTCAAGTCCCGTCTGCTGCCTGGTCTGCGTGGATTTTTTTCTACAAAAGCATATTATTTTAATATAACTTACAATATTAAACAATAATATCATAAAGAAAATATAACTAGAAAAAATTCCACGCGGACCAGGCAGCAGACGGGACTCGAACCCGCACCCTTCGCAATCCGGGCGAATGCACTGACCAATTATGCTACCGCGGCCCTCACGGACCGCGTCGAAATTCTTCTAGCCATTCTTAAGCTGCAAGGCAGCGCCATCTCTTCGCATTATAGGTAACCCACAATGTCAAATGAATACTTTTACAAGTATTAAACATTTGAAAGAAGAAATAGCAATTATAGTTATAAATTTTATTATTTTTAAAGCATGTAACTGCTTGATGTTTAAATCTAAAGAAAATATAACTAGAAAAAATTCCACGCGGACCAGGCAGCAGACGGGACTCGAACCCGCACCCTTCGCAATCCGGGCGAATGCACTGACCAATTATGCTACCGCGGCCCTCACGGACCGCGTCGAAATTCTTCTAGCCATTCTTAAGCTGCAAGGCAGCGCCATCTCTTCGCATTATAGGTAACCCACAATGTCAAATGAATACTTTTACAAGTATTAAACATTTGAAAGAAGAAATAGCAATTATAGTTATAAATTTTATTATTTTTAAAGCATGTAACTGCTTGATGTTTAAATCTAAAGAAAATATAACTAGAAAAAATTCCACGCGGACCAGGCAGCAGACGGGACTCGAACCCGCACCCTTCGCAATCCGGGCGAATGCACTGATTTTTTCTAGTTATATTTTCTTTAGATTTAAACATCAAGCAGTTACATGCTTTAAAAATAATAAAATTTATAACAATAATATCATTCCAATAAAAGTTATATACAACAATAGGAAACTGATTACTTAACTCACATGACCATGGCTGTTTAGGCTGCACACTATTAAGAAGATTCGCTGATAAAATAATGAATATCAAATCAACAGACATCTGAATTTATACTTTAGAGCCACCCTCCTCAAACAAGTTATTAGTGGTGG